AAAACATGTTTTATGAGGTCACAGTGACCTTGACCTTTGACCACCAAATTCTAATCAATTCATTGTTGAGCCAAGTGGACATCTGAGCCAGATTTGAGGAAATTCCCTCAAGGTTTTCTTCAAAGATAACATTCATGATAGTGAGAGGAACGCAAGGTCACAATGGTCTTGACCTTTGACCACCAAATTCTAATCCATTCACTATTGAGTTGAAGTGGATGTTTGTGCCAATTTGATAAAATCCTTCAAGGTGTTCTTGAGATATTACGGTCACAAGAATAAGATGGATGAAAGGTCACAGTAAACTTGACCTTTTACCACTAAAATCTTATAAGTTCATTCTTGAGACCAAGTGTGACAGGCAGGAAAAAAAAATCCTTCTAGGTGTTCTTGAGCATCCACGAGAATTGGACAGGCAGACGTATGGAGAGACAACCCAAAAACATAATGCCTCCATCGACGACTATTGCCAGCACAGAGGCATAAAAACAGTAAACTGATGAACCTGAAAACAACAGTAGTTCAACAATATGTGCTAGAAGATTGCCAATATATGGTGCTTCTCAAAGTCAAGAAGGATCCTTAAATTGCTCAATTTCAAGGAGGCTAGGTCATCGAATCCTGCCGAAGGACTGTTCCAATGTCAAGAACCCTTTGAATTCTATCAAGGTCCAAGTCCTTCCCTTAGAGAATTTTCAAGGACACATGTGGGTATCCTCAGCAGGTATGAAGTACTCACAAATCTTTGTGCACAATTTGCCAGAATTGAAGGTGGGGTCTCTTCAGTGATGCACACCTGGGCAGTTGCTAGCTTGTTCCAATGTGTGTTCACCAAATGTTAGGAAGGAGTCTTGCGTAGCCTCTGTAGGACCCAACTTGGAAGGATCTGTCCTACCAAGAAAGAATCCTTGACTTTGAGAAGTACCAATAGTCTTATTGTACACTCTGACTAACACACCTGTTGGACCAATCACATATGAGAATAGTGTCAAATCAAAACACATTCGAGCAAGTCAGGTTCGAGTGTTTTATTGGCACATACAACTCACCGTTTAGAAAAATAAAAGTTAATGGTAGAAGAATCAAAGTGTTATCATTCATTTAGACACATAATAACAAAAAACTGCTTTCAGATAACAGTGATGAGTTGGCTACTTCATTTAGGACAACAGCATTTATATAAAATCACACAGATATATAAAAACATGAAAGGACAGACTTACCAATGTGCTGACATTCTGCAAAACTGCTAATGAACTGATTGGGTCATTCATTGAACATGGTATACAAATAGGCACTTAATAATGTTGCTGACTACTTCAACCACAGCAATTCCTTTGAGTTCAAATGATTACTTTGTGACTGAGTCTTAAAAAATGTTTATTTCACATAGATGCTATGCTCTAGGAGCAATCAATGAACTAACTACCTACCAGAACTAATGTCACCTCATCATACTGTGTGTTGCAGAAAGTAGGACACCTCAGAGTGATACCTCACCTAAAAAATCTTTGTTTTGAGATGACCACAGCTGGTTTCTTCATTTTAACTGCACCTTTTAAAGCTTACAGAATGTGCGTTTGATTTTAAAAAGACACATTTTGGGCGGAGAATTTCAAAAAAAGTAGGACAGAGTGATGATCTGAGTGTACCAATACCAGTTCCAATGTTAGCGTCATTTACAGTCTTTTATAAACAATTCAGTCCCGCCAAGAGGTGAGACATCAGGGCAGATAACAGCAGTGGGACAAAAGAAAACAAAATTTTAAATCTGACTTACATCAAGGAAAATGGAAAGATGACAGGGCATCTTGAAACAAGCAAAGAACAAAAGACAAAAGAGAAGGGAAAAACTGAGGTCAGCTGACATGGCTCGATTAGATTTCCAGTATGTGTTAAAAAGTTCACAACAGCAACACACTTCATAAGTCTGGGGTAGATCACAGCAAAATGCTTATATAAAGAAGACCACACTGTAGCAACTGATTTACTATGGGGGAGTTCTGAAGGGACAAAATACATAAAGACGGAGTCCAATATAAAGGTAAATTGCAATTTTAGACCAAAATTCAATTTAACAGTAGAGATTAAGTGCTTCGCCAGATAAAAGGAGGAACAAAAGACATAAAAAGGCAAATAATCCTCACTTGTTTTTCAGACAAGTTGTGCTACTTTAGGAAAATCTTCAATTATCAAATATTCAAATATCACATTATTTTTTGACAAAGTTGAAGATGAATCATTTTAAATCATTTAAACATGGATATTATGATAAAATGTGAAGTTGTGCTCATTTTGCATTTCCCTTTGCTTGAACTGTTTAATATATTCAGAAAATCCACTTTACTGTAATGCAGCCTTTTACTATTAAAACTATACCATAATGTTACAAAAACCAAATTCCCTAGTCTATTCTCATTTCAGATTATTGCTGTAGCACCAAAAAAACATACTGTGGAGGACATAAGAGAGCTACAATCTATTGTTCTCTGACTATGAATTTTGTGGATTTAATAAATTTGAGTTTCTCTCTTCCTTTGGAATTTATTCTGATTTAAGTGCACTTTCATAGACAAGGTGGCCTTTACAAACAAAAGAAAACATATGCATAGTATGATTGCGTGTGCTTGGTTTTTGTAATACATCATCTTTTATAATCATACATACTAATGGTCATTTGATTCACCTCTTCATGCTGCTCATCATCTTCAGTGGTTTCCTTCATTTTGGTCATGTGTAGTAAACAAATTTAGGACGATGGGTTTCTCTGCCTTGGAGCTGTGCTATGGATATCAGTTGGGTTGCACCAGCTGTTAAGTTATTACTATTATGAAGTTAAACAGGAACTCCAGTATTTTCAACCTGGACCCTGTTTTCCTATGTTTTTATGTCTAAGTGACTCGAGGGAACAGCTCTTTTTAAAATTGGTCCAGTACTCAGCCGGAGTGCTGCAGCTGGCAGCAGCAAAATAAGCTGCAATGTAATTATACGGGGCAGATGAGTCCCTTCAATGTACATACATTTAAAGTGCTTGTTTTTGACAATAACAGGCTTATATTGATAAAACAAACATAAGAGAAAAGACCCTACAGAGAAGTTGATCATTTCTTCATTTGTCCTGGTCTGTTTTGTGTCCGAGTCTCGCTTAAGGAGTAGTCTCATTCTGAAATATCTCTAACAGTGGAAACATGACAGAGCCCTGGAGAGAAGAGTGCTGGGAAGAGTTTGTTGGGAGTACAGTAAGCATAGTTTAGCATTATCTAAAAGATGTTCAATGTCATGGCTGAATAATTAGCCGATTTCAACAATGTGAAAAAGACTGCGAAATATCAAAACAAGACTTCTCCTTTGATGAGGCTTGGACAGAAACCAGAAAGGAACCAGTGAAATTTATGGAAAAACATTATAATCTCTCTGTAGGGTCTTTTTCATAATGCTGTAAGACTGCCATAATAATCTGAGCCTGTTAAAACACTTTTAGTGGATGTAAATTAATGGGACACATGCTCTGAGTGGTTACACTGTAGCCTGTTTCGCTGTTGCAGGCTTCAGTACTCTCTCTTAGTACTGGACTACATCAGTCATTTAGACACTAAGACGTGGGAAAATAGTGTCTAGGCTGAAAAATACCAGATGTCCTCTTTAACTAGCTAGTTTTAACTAGTGATTTATTTAATCAGGTTACACCGCTACTAGTCTGAGTGGGTGGAAGTTCGCTGCAGAGATCAGCCTCTCATTGGGCGGAACTAGCCACCTGCTGAAGTCCCGCCCTACCACCTCCGGTTGTGTAGCCGTTTTCAACACATCCTTTACTAACTTTTGCGGTGTTTGATCTTGCGGGGATGTAGCCATTTTTCTGCCATGGTTCGCGTCCTGTAGGTGATATTTTTGTGGGCGTGTTACACCAAAACCTGTTTCCCCCCAGCAATATTTTTGCAAGCGCACCATTGCTGTGGCACCGCCCAGAACGATTGTGATTGGTTAAAAGAAGTACAAGCAGCCGGGGCTTTTTTTTCTCCAATCTCAAAGTGAGAGTCGGCCCAGCCAGACCTTTCTTTTCTTCAGAAAGGTCTGGTGAGCGAGACTACACTGCTACAAATGTCAAAGCTCGTAAAGCTGTAGCGTAACTTTTAAAATGTGCAATTTTAGGGGACAAACAACAAACAAGACAAACTTAGCTATAGTTATGATCAGTCTTGGCATAACAAGTTGTTTTTTCAGAAATGTAATTTAAAGTCTTCCCATTTAACATTATTATCAAACAGCATTTTGATCCAGTGTTGGGTCAAATATCTCTTTTACTCTTCAGTTTGAACGTGTCGCAATTTTGTGTCTCCTAGGATAGCAAAGGCATGACCCGCCCTACTCTCCCTGTGATGGGCTAGTACTCATTGCCTTTTTTTGTTGGGTTGGGTAGGTTTAGGCAAGAAGAGTGGGATTGGTTAGGGTAAGCCAGTCAGAGGTGGAGCATGGCAGAGTAAGGCCGGTCCTGCCTTCTCTATCCTAGAAGGCGCAAAGACATGAATGGGTCAAATATTAGCAAGCTAACGTTAGCTTTGTCAGTGGGTTGAGATAGCTACAGGTCGTAGTCAACATTTTATTAATTTTTACGTAAGGACTAATTTGTGTGGTGCAACCTGCTTTAATTTAGTGATGTGTAAGTCTCCACTTAGTAAACACTTGTGTTTTAAACAAAGCTCAGTTTGAACTTACAAAGAGCTGGTGCAATTGGCAGCAGAGATCTTTGCCTTCATTGCTGCATGCAACATTTACCATTCCCACTGACACAAACAATGAAACAGTAAAACCACATAACATCTTAAACGGCCACATCCTCTTATAAAGACAGCAAACTATTAGAATAATGCTCTTCAGCTTGAAGGGATCATAGAAGGCATCTCATGATTGAATCTGTTGAAGTCTAAAAATCACAGGGAGTGGACTGTGTGGCCTACTGTCTAATACAATACACTGAGGATTTAACACAAAACAGCTTCACAATCTTTTGACAGTTTTAGAACAATGATATCAACAGAGCAATAATGGCAAGATTAGATAAGCTTAGAAGTGACTAAAAAATAAGCCTTCATTTTGACCTTTAAGGGTGTGTTTTTTTTTTTGCAGTGTGCTTGCATCACCCACATCTTAAGACAAGGTCTGTACAATTGGTACAACAATAAATTCACAGCAATTTTCAATCAGGAATGAGTGCGGGGAAATTGTTTCCCCCTCTTCTAAAAGTATCCCTTTCTTCTTAAAAACTTCAGTACCCAGAACTCTGTTCAACAGATCCTCATGGAAGGTCATTATCCAGTGACCATTTGAATGGAGACTAATAATCATGTCAACAATAATAAATAAATATGTAGAGACACAGGGATTGAAAGAACAAAAGCAAAGGAGTGGAAGGCACCATCCTGCCAGAGAAAAAGTGAAGGAATGGATGGAGAGATGATGTAACCCTTAAGAGTTCAAAACTTTACTGGTGTGTCCTTCTCTGTGCTCGTCAGGAGACGCGCTGCCAGAGGAATTCTCAGCTGGCAGCAGTTACTTTTCAATCTTAATTCTTCTTTTGCTGGTAGCCATGGTCGAGTCAAGTCATTGTCCTCTTTTTTTAAGGCAATGATTTGGAACTTGAAGCCACTTTGGCCTCAAACACTGGCAGCAACTTCGAATGGTGGTAGTCATTGTAAAAGTTCAGTCATTTTAGTGCTGTTTCCCCCTAAAAGTATAAGGTCCGCTACAGCCGCTGGCTGTCACTGTCCCTGTTTCAGCCATTGTACTGCTGCTGATAGCGACGGTTCAGCTCCCGCAGCTCTTTCTCTCGCACTCGCCGGGCTTTGTTGGATTTGGTGGAGCGGCTGGAGCGAGTGGACTGGGCAGACTTGGTGCTGTGGCAGCGTGAGGACGCCCGCTTCAGGAGGTTCTGAGATATACAGCGCTGTAGGTTCTTCATGGAGGAGGAGGCAGCCATGCTGACGATCCAGGGGTGCTTCAGAGCCTGGCCAGCTGTGAGACGCTCGCTGGGGTCCACTGTTAGAATCCGCTCCACAAAGTCTTTGGCCAGGTTGGACACACTGGGCCACGGCTGGAGAGGGGAGACAGACGTGAGACAAGACAGTAATGAACAAACTGAGTACACTGATCACTGTTAAACCTGTCCTCTAGATAGTCTAAACCAGTGGTGCTCTGATACTGCTTTTCCACCAGCACGGAACAGGTTACATTCTGGTTCCCTGCACATGATTTGAAACTGTTCGGAACATTATGAACAAAAACAAATTTGATTCAAAACCCGAAAAGTTGGATCCCAGCAGGCACCAAAAAATTTAAGGTTTTCCATGACGTGATGTGGGAACAATGACAACATCAGTGGCCATGTCATATTCTACCACACGTAATTGTCTTCTGTATAATATCTGTCGTAACATAATAAAAGCTCTCCGGTAATCAATGCCATCCGCCATTTTACGTGTGGATTGTGCAACGTCCTCCGATGATGACACACCCTCGGTCATAATGGTTCCACTCAAAATTGGTGGAAACGTGGGCTAGTTCACTAGATAACACGAAGGTTCCAACAATCCTGAATGGAACTAGTTAAAAAACAAAGCTAATATGGTGGAAAATGGTTATGACCTAGGGCACAGAGAGGGGGTAGTATATCTTAAAGATATACTATGCAGGATTGTCAGTTACTGTTTGTAAATGCACTTACCAATGAAAGTAAAAGCCAACTGGGGGGGGTATGGTGTCTCGTAGATGCCTGCTGCTTGCAGTCTGGCACCTGTTTGCTACCTTTACATAAAGCCCTGACCTCACCTGAGTGCTGTCAGTAGTCAATTAATATGAAAACTATACATGTGCAAAAATGGTTAATTTCAGAAGTTTAACTGCTGAACATAATGTTTTCTACTTCAATGAAAAGTGCGATCTTATGTGCACTGAAGGTTTAAGGTTTCAATCACACTTGTGTAAGTTGCATACAGGAACATGACTGGTTTCCAAACTAGGTGTGATGATGTCACAAAAACATACTTGTACGAACACATCTCTGATTTAACTCTGATATAAACTAGGTGCAAAGAAACTTTCAGTAGATGACTGAGAAAACAGCCTTCTAGTGTCAAACCCTGAACATACATCGTTCTGCACAGTGAAGCTCAAACATTCAAGTGGAGTAACAATAAACAGAACACTTCTTTGGGTGGAGGGAGACATTAAACAATCTTGTAAGAATGTATGGTTTGTTTAGAATCAGTGAAATTTTGTCCACCGCACACAAGAGGGCAGCAGAGTGATAGAAAGAAGAGAATGTCTGGTATGGACAGTGTTATGAGCTCTGAGCTGACAAAAAGCTTGGGTCATCAATGTAATAATGGGTTTTCTTGGTCTTTAGATACTGTCAGACTCAATAATAGGTGCGGAGAAGTGATTTGTACAGTAACTGATTTGCTGATAGAGTTAAGAGTAAAGATCTAATGTAACATAAAATGCTGTTAAAAGCAAAACGTTCTCTTTCCGAGACATGGACTCTATTTAGTAAGACTGACTGGTAGTGAGTCAAACTCTACCCCCTACTTAGACAGGAATTGGGAATATCAAGGCTGCATGCCTTTCTACACACACACACACACACACACAGTTTGTACATGATGTCCTGCTTGGCAACCAGCTGTGTTTTCAGTCTCCCAGTAGACAACTAACCCCCCTTTTCACACAGCAGGTAAATTACCAGTGTTGACTAAAGATACATGACACATATATAAGCCTCAGACATACATTTCTCCTCCACTTCCAACAATCTCTGGGCTGTCGTTAGTCCTTGGACTGCAGCTGTAAATGTGAACATTATTTATTGCAGTTGTAAAGACACTTGTCCCCAAGGGAACTGCATTCAAGTCCGCCCCACCTCGGCTTCACCTCTCACTTACCCTCAGGACAGGATTTTCTTTAACTACAGGTGCCATGCATTGTGACATTATACAAGTTGTTGTACTGCTTCTTTGCAAGGAGTCCTCAGCCATGAATGTCTGTGTTGTGTTCAAAGCCATTACAAATATTTAATCAATGCACGAGTGTCACAGCAGAACACAGTAAATACTGTATATATTTCAGCATTATGAGCTAGTGACAGAGAGGATAAATAGCAATGAGACAAAAGTATTACATGCACCAAAGGTTCTCAGCTGGAATCAAATCAGGGATATTCCAATCATAAGGTACGCATCCTAGCCACTATGTCACGACTATACTGCCTGTTTGAAGGAAGACACTTTTTTTTTTAAACATGTGCAACTATACAGTACTTTTGATTTATTGCTTAGTGCTTCTTGATTAATCAAATGATTGTAATAGCCACAATAGCCACAATTTCTCAGAGCTGCTGAGCACAACACCTTCCAAGTGTTTGTCTACGCCACAAAGACGTTCAACGTACAATTAAATTAAACAGGGAGAAAGAGCAAATCCATACAAATTTATTTCTGTGTGATTAATGAGTTAAATTGTTCATCAAAAGTGGTTGATGAATTTTCTTTCAAGTGACTAACTGATTTGTTTCAGCTCTAGAAATTTTCACTTTTTATTAATTCACAGTGGTATTTTATGTTTGATTAAAACATTTTTGAAGCTGTTTTACAATAATTTTAGAGCACTTAAAGGTCCCCTCTGGAGTTTATGTTTGCATTATGCACACCTGGATGATCATGCACAAGCTATTCCAATGATGAACAGTTGGTGGCAGTAATGTGCTGAGAGAACTAGCACCCACAGAGGTAAGAAAGAAGATTATAAGCTAGCAAATGTCCATGTAAACGATGCAGGATCTAATAAATACATGTACATATAAAAACTACAATGCATCTAGAATTGGGCGGTATATCAATATTATATTACATATTGTAATATGTGACTAGAATCTAGATATTGTTTTAGATTTTAGATATCGTAATATTGTAAGTGTTGTCTTTTCCTGGTTTTAAAGGCTGCATTACAGTAATGCAATGTATTTTTTTTTTAACATACCAGACTCCTCTGTTTTATTATTTGCATTTATCTACTCAGTCATTATATCCACATTATTTATCAGGACTCTCATTGTGTAAATATATTGTGAAAACACTAACAGTCAACCCTACAATATCGTCTCAATATCTATAATGTGGTGTTTGGTCAAAATATTGTGATATTTGATTTTCTCCATATTGCCCAGCCCTAAATGCATCACACTATTGTCACGGCTTGAGGATACACACACTGCTTTTTTATGAAAATGTAAGCATAACTTTGTTTATTCACAAGAAAACTCCACAGGGTTCCTTTAATGCTGCTATAATAAATATTTCTATGATAGCAATTGGTCAAATGACTACATAATATAATGCGAAAATAATGTTGTAGCTCGGAGTGACAAACCCAAACACTGCAACCTAGCTCTGCAATCCCCCTCAGTTCTATGAATTATTTACTGTCTTTCAGCTCATTGTTTTGGTTTCTGGCCCGCAACTTCACTGTTTTGGCTCAACATCAGTTCACAAACCTTATATACAGCCATCATTTTGCCTTCTTCAGCCTGTCGTTTTTCAAACAGAAATACCAAGGATACTCTTTAAGAAAATATCAGTTTTTACGCCCTAGTTTTTGGACTCATGTTGGAAGAGAATAAAGATTGCTCTGTCATTGCTCTCATGAGAAATCTCCCTTTTTTTAAACTTAGTCTTTTATGTGACAACTAAGACCACAACATCTAGTCAATAACCACCATATCATCCTAAGAATGCATAATGGTCTACACTATGTGGAAGGTTTTCTCACTACTCACCCAGCAGCTCTGCTTTGCAAACCTCAGCTAAAATATAGGCTCCCTGAAACTGTGATTTCAATTATTAAAAGTGTCAAACCTAACCTTATCTTACCTGTCAGACACTCGAGAAGTTCAAAACTGGACACACTTCAAGAAAACCGAGATGATTCAACCACTCCTTATTAAATATTGCAAAACTACTCAGCTATTATTTGCGCTGGAGTGGCTGTATGTGGGGCAAACATTAACCAAGGGCCCCTTTTGTAAAGCTCACTGGCAACATAAACATCCCACGCTACAAAACAAAGGAATGGACTACTCAGCATTCTTCCAACTACGTACACAGATAGAGCATAAACTACTGTTCACACATACACACACTTAGAGGGAGGGCATATTGATTTAGAGAGGACAAATACATGAGAGCGAGTATGGCAAGGTAAAAGGTAAGGGTACATGAAAGAGATGTGGACGTGAGCGGTGAGATAATTGGTGAGGAGAGTTTGGCATGTGTAAATGCGTGTGTGTCTGTGTTGAACCATGTCACCTCATAAGAAAAGCTGATCTTCTCAGAAATCTGTTAACAAAGCCTCATGCGGTGTGAGGAATGTATTCCAAATATGGGTGAAGTCTGCTGGAGTGTGTGTGTATGAGGGAGAAAGTGTGTAACAGATTTAAGTCCTCACCTCCCCAGAGAAGCTGTACTTCCCCTTGAGGATCTGCCGGTAGAGCCTCATGCGGTTGTCGTCCTCGAAGGGCATGGTTCCGCTCAGCAGGATGTATGATATCACCCCTAGTGCCCACATGTCTACAGCGTTTGTATAGGGCTTCCTCACCAGGATTTCTGGGGCAATGTACTCTGGCGTTCCACAGGTGGTCTTCATCAGACATTCGTCTCCCTTCTTCCTGCTGCTGGCCAAACCAAAGTCAGTGATGATGATCTTGGAATCAGCTCCAGGGTGGTAGTAGAGCAGGTTCTCCGGCTTCAGGTCTCGGTGAGTGATCCCCAAAGTGTGGAGATACTTAACGCCATCCAGCACCATCTGCAGCACCCGTGTGGCGTCCCGCTCTGTGAAGGAGCCACGAGCAATGATGCGGTCAAAGAGCTCTCCTCCTGTGGCCAGCTCCATCACCATGTAGACACGTTCTGCCGTCTCAAAGACCTCCATCAGCTGGATTATATTGGTGTGACGAACGCGTCGTAGAACACACAGCTCTGACTCACACACCTCCCTGCCCTCCCGGTAACGGGTCTCTATCATTTTGATGGCATACGGTTGCCGCGTGCTCTTGTGCTCCACGCGGACGACCCGGCTAAAACTCCCACGACCTATCAAAGCTTTGATGTCATACTTGGCCGTGACCCGGGGGTCAAACTTTGCCCGATATTTTGCCACTTTCTTCCGCTGAGGGTCCGACAGATCGGATGGGTCCTTAGGGGGCTGGGCGGAAGCGGTGGGAGTGGCAGCCTGGGCCTGAGCTTGATTAGGGGAGGTGGAGTCAGCCTTGTCACCTCCCCCTCCACCGGCCCCACCCATCTTGCTCCTAGTGCCATCCCCTCGTATGAAGTGCTTATAGATATCTGTCTGAGGAGGTTGGGGAGGATCAACCTGAAAGATACAAGAACACAATTTATCACAGATGCAAACTACAAACCAGAGAAAAACAACAAAAGTTAATTGATTTTCTGTGCAGACAGAAAGAAAAGAGTAAATGAGCTGTCATATGTAAAGACACTGTCATATAGATTTTTGGTTTATAGTTAGTATAGCCTGACCAGTACTGGATTTTTGAGGCTGATAGTGATATTTTGGGGTTAAAAAATAAGAGCGAACGAGATAATGGCTGACAGTAAATATTTCTTTTCAAAACATAATGTGACATGGTGACACTGTTTCTGAATTACCAAAAAGGTGCTGTATGACACATTCAGAGCATTAATATAGCAGCAAACTACTTGCTATGTAAAGACATAAAGGAGTAATGGCGTCCTGAGCAGAAAAAGAAATCACACTATCTTGTATCTTATATCTGACTGTGGTTTGTTGTAATAAGCCAGTCCAACCACACATGCATCTGACTGCATGTGTGTATCCCACTAGCTAGCTCATCACCGCCACACTGCACAGCGCTCATATGGTGGTTACTGCTGATACCAGGACAGAACTGTCCCTGAAGCATAGCACCCACCCTCCAGTTACCCCCAGTTAACACCATTTGCTCTGACAGCAATGTTGTTGTTGTTAGACGCTATTTAGGGAGTTAGCACCGTTAGCTGCTAGCCGCCAGCTCGGCCACCTCCGTGTTGAGAGCCATGTGTAGAGAACTCATACGCTCTGAATTTCACATAGAACCCCTTTAAACCTAGTTGGCTGATTAAACATTCTAGCTCTGATTGATTGTCTAAGATGAATCCTCATTAAAGCTTTTGTGGGTATTACGCCTGCAAATAACTATTTTTCATTATCGATTTGTGTTGATTATTTTCTTAGGTAAAAAAAAAATAGTTTTAAAAAAAAGCCTGCGACAATTTCCCAAAGCCCAACTTGACATATTTAAGTATCTTTTTATTGAGTCTTGCTTTTTACATTATGAGACTCAATGATTACTCTGCAAGTAACAAAAATATTCAATAGCTTGTTCAATAAAAAAATAATCACACCCCTACTGAGGTAATATTATCAATAGTAATACAGGTAGTTGTGAACATAGCAGTTTTACCAATGGGAATATTAACAACATTGTCCTACTGACCTTTTTGACCAGGTCCAACTGAACATCCCCTGGAGGCTCAGGGAGGACCTTACTGTTCCTGCACCCCATCACATCACCTTGGGCCACTGCCCAGCCAGCCACACAGGCCACCAGGAGCCCTGCCTCATCACCGCAACAGCTGATTCAACACACTCAGGACATCCACCATCCAGGCCGTACCCAGACTCAGACAGAGGGGTCATGAATAAAGCTGATTACACCCACTCACGTCCCAATGAGCTGGCATCAGCAGTCACAGTTCATGAATACACCCGATACATCCACTTACGTCCACTTTAAAAAGTCCAACAGTTCATGAATATATTCTGGGCAAGCGCGTTGTACGTCTCGGCTCCATCAGCAAGTACTGTATTACCGGTTCTTTTTGTTACAGTATTCTTTTATAGGCCTGTGCCGGTGGGTCTCGCACACACACACAGACTGCACAGTCGGCAGGCAGGGGGTACCTCAAGCCCCTTTAAGAACCTACCGGGGCCCCATCTCAGATGTCGTAATATGTTGAGTGTTTGAGAGAAAACTGCATGAGTACAGCTATATGGATGCTCACGGGGCAAAAATGATTGATCAGGGCTGGGGGGCAGAGCAGTTCTCTAAAACAGGTTTAAGTGCCTTTAGGAAAAATGCAGAAGGATTCAGGCAGATCTTCCACAGAAAATAAGATCATCAACTATGCTCCGATCCATTGGGGGAAGCTGCAATGTCAGCAGCGGTCTTGCCACAGATAAAGCAGCTCCCCTGGAGAATCACAGGCTGGAGAACAGCGGAGGGAAGCTCTGAAATGCAGAAACACAGTATGAAATATGAATCTTGAGTGATTATGGTTAGGCTTGCACATGGGCATGAGTGTATGCGGAGATGACAGGAGCAGATTTCAATTAGGCCAATCACTGAAAGGCAGAGAAGTAACTGACCTAAACACAATGATAATTTTAGCACAAAAGCAAAAAAACATTTTTGTATAGAAGTGGTGTAATGAGGCCATATTGTGAAACATTCAGCCAAAATATGATTACAGCTATCCAGACATGTTTTGGCCAAGAAAACAAAGAATAGCTTTGCCATTGTAAGAAATAGCTGCACTAACACAGATGGTCACTTTTATCCGAGTATCAAATGTTGGAACTCTGCTTGATATATTGTTAAAAGTTCTCAGTATAAAATGTTTATCAACTTACTTTACTTTTTCAGTTATTATTATAGAAAATAATCTGGAAACAACACTGAAAACATACTTTAAAGTGCTCTACACGTTGAAGAAACCATAACACATGAGCACATTTGTATCAGACATTTAATGGACAGCTACATTAAAGTTTAGTTAAAATAAAAAATGTCCAGGCCCCACTCATGTCAGTGTATTTTCTTCAGCCAAAAACTCATTAGACCGTTATTTAAGGCAACACTGAGTAACAACAGGATAGTCTTTAAAAACTTTCACAAATAAGCCCAACATTACAGTTATAAAAGCAACTTACTTATCCGAGATAGCGAAGTGTCTGAGCATGCTAACTAGCCTGCTAGCAGCAGCAGGGCAGGACTCCCAACTTTGCCAAATCCAGCCTCCTCACCCCACTCTCACTCAGCTGGGCTCTCCATTTTCACCTCGTACTTTCCCAACTTTACTCCCGAGGACCAACAAGTCAAATCCGTCACTTCATTTGTCAGCGACTTTTTGTGTCAATTCCGGAGTTTAATGGTTTGTTTAGGAGATGGAAGGACTGTACAAAAACATATAAAGTTGCCCCGTCGGTCGCTTTTCTGGACGGTGTTTTTCGCCCAGGACCACCTTCCCACCACCACAGCCCGAGAGGAGTGACAAGAGATTGAATGCAACACAGGTCTTCCGGTTTATATTTTCAAAATAAAACGCCACTTGAGAATTCTGCAGCATTTCATGTAAAACTAAAGCACAAAGCAAGCAATGAATAAATAAATAAATAAATAAACAAATAAATGAATATTTAGGTGTGTTTTTCTCCACAATTTTCTGTATTACTTATTTGGATTTGGCACTTTTAAAAATTATTTTTATGTAAATCTTAACATTGAGAAAACATACTTAAAATGAAAAGGCATATTATTGACAAGTTATCAGAAGTTCTATGTGTTATATCTATTAAAGAAGTACTCATTGTAGCGGCTGAATTACCAACCGGGCAAAGCAGCCCAAAAAGGTTCACTACTATTAACTGGTTTGTGCTGGTTGATTGAAAATGTGCAGCACTTATACACAAAATTATGTGAGATGTAATTATGGGTCCTGCAGGCTGTCAAACTCCTTCATTACTTTAGTCTTGTGTGTGTATGTTGCATATTCATGAATGAACCTGACCATTCAGATTACCAAAAAGCTAGTCTGGGGTTAAGTAGTAGCTACTCTTGCAGAGAAAAAAAATGCAACATGTCACATGGAGTGGGAGGAATGGGAGGTTAAAAGGGATTCAACAGCTAATTTGTGCCCCAGGGTCCTCAGCCATGAGCAAATTGCCTGTCATGGAAAAAGTATTCATTATAAAAGTGTTTGAATGTCATCATGTATAATAATAGGAACTGTATGAATGTACGATTCATCTATGTTCATGGTTTGGTATTTTCAGAGACCGCAGAGTCCCTCTCTGTCCGAATGCAGGCATGTGAGGAAGCCACAGGGTGTCTGAAAGTTAAGATACTGTAAGATCAAGACCATGTAGATGTTGAGGCTCCAATGTAAGATCAGACCTGTATGCCGTGAAATACACTATATATGGTTGAATCATTGTTCTGTTACTTAAATTTGTGTTGTATTAAACATATATTCAAGAAAAATCCACTGAAGTTCATCGAGTTCATCATCGAATTCATCTTGTTGTCCATCAAAGTGAAGATTGACCAAGAGTGCATGTTTTTCCACATCGTTATCCATCATTAGTTACCATCACAATAGTTGCCTTTTCGCTTGCATTTTCTTAACATTGCAAGGAAGATTATAAAAATGGTGGAATTCATTTGCTGATACCTGGTAATACATGAATTCTCCCATCACCCACTTAGTATGCTCTTAATTTGAAGGCCTGATCCTCAAACTTCCTGTGTGTTCCTTTCTGTCTCTGGCTTGCATGATGGGGCTCCTCTTCCACCCATAACTTCTTTTGTAGAGACGGGACGACCTCCCTCGGCTTGTTTCGACCCCATCAAGTCCTCACCGTCACTTCCTGGATACAGAGAGAAGTCCCTCTGACAAAGTGCTGACTGACTTCTCTCTCGGAAAAGTACCAGCAACTCTGGGTGGCACATTAGTACGAACTCACAAGTTCAGGTTAGAGTGCAGCATGACTCTACCCTCATTTGATGTAATCATACCTCAAGTAACAATATCTGAAAGAATGTGAGATGTTAAGCACAGTTCTAGCTACATCTGTCTTCAGACATCTGAGTGAAATATGAACGGCATGGAACTATAATAACGTGAAAATTATACATTACAGTTCATTTTATTATTATTTTTCTATGTGGTGGGGTCCCACTGGGGCAATCTCGTGGCCCCCTGGTGGTCCGTGGGCCTCTTCTGAGGATCAGCTAAGCTGGTTAATTCACAGCAGACATGCATATGGATCAGTTTCTGTAATTTTTATACACAGTAAAGCCACTTCACTATGCCACTCCTCTAAAAACATCATAAACAATACTCAACCCTATGTTTAGACACGCATCTCACAATGTATGAAAGTGTAGCCTATGTGTATACACATATGTTTTCATTTTGACCACCCTTTAAGAGGTTAAGAATTTGTATTGGTTCTATATTGGATCTATTTTTAAAGATATTTGAAGTTTTAAAAGTATAAGAGGGGGGAAAAGGCATCTCAGTTGTATTCCTGCAGCATGGGCAGCTTGGCACTGATGTTTTAATCTGTTGCACAGCATTTCCACATGGTGTCACTGTACACATAAAAGTCACTCTTAAGGCCGTCTCACTGTAGGACTACTTTTTAGTCCGTTTATAAGGCTGGCTCTTCCTTTACATTCCTACACTCATGTCTCCTCCATGCTTGTAAAACAGCCTGGGATGAGTGGCTTTCAGTTTCCCCTTGCTTGTTCATGAGCAATGTAATAAAGAATACTTGGCCTTGACATCAATATTGATGTGATAGCGAGTACTGGACTCATTGTACACTGACCGTGACTTGTACAGCCTTTACAGGACGCCGTGGAGTTTTGTAGAGTGGCATTAAAAGTGTGGAATTAGTAAGAGGAAGACAAATGTTCCAGAAAGACAGTCAGAGAGACAGTAAAATTCATCTTATGATGCCAATAAAGCTCCTTGAATTGGATTGCGGGATTGAAAATGAGTGGGAGAGGGGGGTGTTGGTGACAGAGGAAGACAACGGATGACAGATGGTGGGTACCAGACAGAAATATAGGGAGAAAGGGAAGGGGGGAGGAGAAGGAGGGGGCAGAGGGATGAAGCGGCAGAGAGTAATCAAAATGGAAAGAGGGAGATGCAGAGGGATAGAGGAGGAAGGGAAGACACAATGCAGTCAGGAAGGAGGGACGGAGAGAAAGAGAAAAGACAAAGAGAGAGGATAAAAGCAAAGAAAGGGAGTCTCTGAGGGGCCACTACTGGCTGGCCTGCCTCTCTGCTCTATCTTCAGTGCAGCTGAGGTCAGGGCCTCTCCGGCTCTGCAACTCACTGCTACATCGTCATCCTTGTGATTGATCACCGCTTTGTCGCACTCTGATTAAGATGCTTTGTCTGAGCGCTCCACTTCTATTGACACTTGTGTGTATTCCTCTGCATCACAACTCTCTCAGCTCTCTGTTTCCACCTCTCCATCTCTCTGCTTGCGCTGTCCCTTCGCTCACTCTCTTTCTCCCCTTTCCCACCCCCAAAGGTCAATATCATCTATTAGATCTAGATTTGCTGACTGCTGTATTATTTATCCATACAGAGGAAGAGGAGCCGCTCTATTAAAAGCTCAATTGACTCCGTCTGTGTCTCTGGCTCCATTAATATCCCCATGATGGTTACCCCTCATTTGTGTGTGCGTGTGAGAAACAAGAGTTTTAAAGTGTGTGTGTGCGTGTGTGTGCGCGCGCCAGTGTGTGCCGTGGATTTGTAAAAAGGTTGCAGAGGATGAGTAAGCGAATGAGGGTTTACAGTGAGTGGACAACTTTATGTGCGTGTGTGTTTACAGGCAGTCTGGTGCAGTGGGACGAGAGCTGAAACTCTAGCAAATGACATCCTGTGTCAGATATTGTTGGAGGATATTGCTGTTTCTGTGCTCTCCCTTCTTCTCTCACATACTCTAGCAGGGGTCTCCCCCAGAGAGTCAGGGGGAGAGAGAGAGGAGAAAGTCAGAGAAGGACCACTGCTGCATGCCGTCAGTACAATCTGGTCATAGTAAACTCACTATGGAATACCACAGGCGCATAATTCCCCTGAAGGAATATTGTATGACTACTATACTGACACTGCAGGAGATAAATGTATCATAAAGCACATCACACTCATTGTAAGGATCTTATTGACCACCTCAGGCAAGCTATTAGTTTCCTGGGGAACATTATGAGAACATTACAGTGATTTTTTCTGTTCTTGTCAGAAGGTGCAGCATCTACATGGCAGGTGTCAGTGAGACAGTGGGATTTCATTTGGTCCCCGTTGAACTGTGCATGTCTGGAACACCTGTGGTACTAACTTTTATAGTCCAGCTGATGGTCCATAAGTTACTGCTCGAGCCGTGTCTAATTTTTTTTATTGGGGTTCTGGAAATTTCTCAAAATCTCACCATGTAAAAGATTCAGTGTCCTTAAAATGTCCTCAGAATTCAAGTTGAAGGTGCTCACAGCTGGATCGCATCTAGTTTTCAGTTGTTAAGACTGTTAAACCAACGGCATCATCACCACAGGGAAATGTAAAAGGAACAGCCATTACAGTGAAGGACAAAGAAGGGTTCATAGAAAGGGTGCGATACAGTGGGTACAAGCAACAGGTTTTTTTATTGCTTTTTTTGCTGGAAACAACTGCCTGATAAAAAGCCACCAGAGTGAACCAAAACAGTAGACTTGTGGTTGATAACAAAAACAATGGGCTGAACAACACAGTCGATAGAATTTTTTTTGGCATTGTACACTTCTGCAAACCACAAATAGGCTATGTTACATGTGTATGTTTCATACATATAACAACATTTCTTACATGATGTAGTACATGAGTTGACTTTGGCAATACAATAGGAGGTGGAAGGGTTGGTGCATCGTGAGATACCTGCCAAGCTGCAGGCCACTGTTGGAGATCAACGAACAGCAAAACCGGTTGTTTTTTTTAGCAAGTCATTGCATTGCTACATCTTCCAGCAGCTTATTAGCCATCAAACTTGGATGTTTGTCAGCGACCTGTCGCTGTGTTTCCAGCAGGGATAGTACCATAAAAGGTGTTTCTTTAGCCACCAAGACCAGGTACTTTAAGTCAAAATGTGATCTTTTCCTAACCATAACCCAGTGGTTTTTGTGTTTAAACATAACCACACATTAACCACAGGGTTGTTAAAACATAAAGTTTTATGTGACAGCCCTCTTTCCTTCCTCTTTGGACTGCCTTTTCCTTTAAGTAGTGAAGTACCATGCCACACTGCAAAATTGCTCAGGAATGGCCCAATGAATGTGACAAAGAGCTCAAGGCGTCAACTTGGCCTTCAAATTCCCCATATCCCAATCTGATCAGGCATACATGGACTGTGCCATTACCCTAGAGCCAAGTCTGAGCCGCAGTTGGGCCTTTGATTGAACTTGGATCAGACTTGACTCTAACCTGTCAGGACATTGACA